GAGCAGGATGAGGATGATGATGATGATGACGATGACGAAGATGATGACGATGACGATGATGATGATGATGACGAATTATAACAGTGCTAATGAAGACAACAACAGCAATTCGAAGCCGAAGCTGCACTGGGTTGGTCGTTCGCGCTATCAGTATGGCTGCTTGCTGACGCTGCTGCCGACCCGCGGTCCTCAAACTATTGCCACTGCCTTCGTGACTGCATTGCTGCTCGTTCTGGACAACACTGCATCCATACATTCACCAGGGAAAAACATCCGTGAGTCCTGCTCGAAGCCAACTCTGAATCAGGAAACAATCCCAAGACTAACCCCCGCTAGCAGAAGCTGTGCCATCATCCACCCGATCTTTAGCAAGTACTCGCGGCAGGTCTCGGCGCTAGAAAGGTCCTGGTGCGGAACGTTTGGTCTTGGATCGCCGGCGATCTTCTTGCCGAAAACTGTGCAGACTGCTAAAGCCACCGATACTACCAAGGCTCCTGTCACAGCAGACGTGACTGCTTCTGAGTGGAAGGTGGCAAAGCTTGTGGAACTTCCGATGCCTCTTACTCTGGCAACAGTCTGATTCAAGTTGCAGTTCAAAAACCCATCGCGTGCGGCATTGTCGCAGTCACATGGGCTTGATGCCATCCAGCCCGAACGGAACGCAGCTACCCTGCCAGACGCAGCTGTACCACATGGGTACACTCCTTGCAGGTTCACTGCAACAATCTCAACATTTTCAGGAACGTCCCAGTCGTACTGAAACTGGAAGCTGTCCAGGCTGCCTGCTTCGGCTGCACACCTAGGGGTTGCCGAAAATAGGGGACCCAAATATAGCACCCTAAATAGTAGGATCCTTATTATACGGACCCCAAAATAAGGTACCTCCCCCCTTATTTTCGGAAACTCCCACCTAACCATTTCAGTTGCATCATTGGGGCCTACCTGGCGACCGCACAGCTGTTCGGCTGCAACCGCGTGCGTTTCAAAAACGCGAGTCCGTCCTCGGAGGTTCAAGAGAACCCGAGGAGCCCAAAACCCCTTAATTAATTAAGGAATATACCTTAAGTTATAGGGGCCTTACTATTATGAGTTTAGGCCTATTCCTTAATTAAGGGGTATTGGGCTCTCTGAGAATAAGGGACAATTCTCGAGAACCCTAAGTAGTGGGATCCACATTTGTGGACTCTTCCTCTAGGATCCTGATCCCTAAACAAGGTATCCCTGATTGCAAGAGCCCCCCCCCCCTCCTGTGTTGAACCACACACCACTGCCGGGAGCATAGAGAAACCACATTCCGACTTCCTCACCTGTCACTCCTCCCCCCTGGTGGCGCACCTCGATCCACTGGTGGTTCCCAGCAGCACCGTAGCCTTTTCTGCCATAGCCTCCTTTCACGTGCTTGATCCAGAGGCCATTCTTGTAGGAACCCTTATTCACATCAGTCACCTTCACGTCATACAGGTCACCAACATCCACGTGGTTCATACCATGAAGCCAGTCAATCACATACTTCACCGGGTGCCCAGCGATGCCTGCGCGCTCATAACTATCCCGGTCCAAATACCAGAAATCCCAAGTGCATATCGGGTACCCAACTTGTGGAACTGCCCCATAGACACGCTCGAAGTATGTTGCCCACACCGAGCTCAGTAGCTCCGCCCGGCTGTGAAACTTCGGCCAACCGTACGTCTCTTCTGCAGAGCACCTTGAAGGTATGGGGGGTCCGGGGGGTGACAGCGTCGCGCCTGATGTGCTGGCGATGTCTCCGGGCCAACCCGTCAGAGGGCAGAGGCTTTTCAGCGAGCAACTGCCAGACTTGAAGGTCCAGCCTCTGCATTCCACGGATGTACTGCAAGCTTTGCAGCAATCATCTGCAGAGGGCAGTGACGTGTTGAGAATGTCAATATCAACTCCCTTTGGACCGACGCAAATACTCTCCTTGAATGTGATGCATTGCGCAAGCTGGGCTGTCATCCGGGGCTGCGCATTCCGAGACTGTCGTTTGAAAACAAAAACCTCCGATAAATTCAACTCAAGATGTGATAGTCCTACACTTTTTCCTTCCAAGCTCTGTTTGTGCAATTGTCAAAACCACGTCTAACCGTATAACTTGTGCTTGTCCTCGGCTAGCTAACCACGAACATCCTCATGCATGCACTTCGTTTCTGGTTACAATATTAATCTGCAAGGCACTGCAAGGTCTACGTAATTCGTCCCATGAACGGCTGCTGGTTCGGGTGTCCGTACGTTCAAGAGTGCTTATGGCAGGCGTAGCAGTGCAGCCAAACCTTTTGCTTGAACAGAATGGTCGTTGCGGCAGGAGTCTGTGAGGAAATAGTCGTTCACATTGGGTCGTAGTGGGAGCATAAAATCAAATCCGTCACTTGGACTATTTAATGGATCCGAAGTCACAGGCATCGAACTGCTCATGAGAGCACGCAGGCGAGTCTCCGACACAATCACACCTGCATAAGCCCCTGGAACGCATGGTTTTTCCTTTTTGCCTCGCGTTCGTGGTGAGGGTTTAGGGGTCGCTTCCCCAGTCAAGGACTCAAGGGCGGCTTCGCCGGTCGGATGAAGCCAAGCCACGTCACGACCAGTACATCGGCCACGCAGTGCGGGAGTCCATCTTGGACACTCCTTCGTTGGGGAACTGGTGCCCCCAAAAAAAGGGCAACGCTCAGTCGCAAACAAGAAGTCACCAGCCGAAGGGCCTAGCACACCTTCCACACTACTCGCATCTACTCACTTACGTATGAAAGTCGGTAGAGCTCGGCTGGCGAGAGCGGAATTCCAACATTTTCAGCCTGCTTCTTGTGGTAGTACATCGCCACATGCTGCTGAGAAATCCGATCCAAGCAGACGACGAGCTTTCCATGCCGGAGTGCCATATCCTGCAAGCAATCCTGTAAGCCCCCTCCCTGGCTGTGCTGGAACCAGGTGTTCACATCCTCCTCCGCTTCACTCGGTGATAGATGCAAATCCTGCCATGGGTAGTCATGCACTGGGAATCTCCGAAACATGAGCCCAGAGAGCCCAATACCCCTTAATTAAGGAATATACTTTAAGTCATAATAGTAAGGCCCCTACAATTTAAGGTATATTCCTTGTTTGAGGGGTATTGGGCTCTCTGGGAGATGGACATTCTACTTCAAGACCTGAACCGGCATGGAGCTTCAAAAGCGGGCCTCGAACTCGTTGATGCAGTTGTGCGTCGTCATGCAACAACGCACCTCATGGTCGAGCTCAGAACGCCAACGCCAGGGAAGATATCAGCTTGCAATATGTCATCTTCTGTTCTAGTATGTCTTTTTTACATTTTTACAAGATAGTCTAGTGCAGCACGCTGGAAACTTGCACTGGTTCCAAAGCCCCCGACATGGAGCAGCAGCGATTAAACGCCTCCACAAGAAAAACCATGGGCACAACTCCGCCAAGGCACATAGTGGTTTAGGGCAAGCAAGATCAAGGCCGCAGGTACCACGATGCTAAGGATAAGAACGATAAGTCCGCCAAGGGTCTTGACGACGCACAAATATCGCACCACAACGGGGAAGACGAAGAGACCGCCATTCCACCAGAACAGATACCTCAGGCAATCAGGGAATCATGAGGCACAGACCGGAGCCTAATGGTCTCATGTTGAATCAGGAGAGTTTCACCATCAACCTCCAATCTCAGTGCCATCCATTTCCAGGTGCTAACTTGCTCAAAGTGGAAGCCACAGTCCAAAGGCTCAAGAGACACACTTTACAGCGTCCCTCCATTCTGAGCCGTATAGCCTCTACTAGGTGACATATCTATGAGGTATCTTAACGGGAAATTCGTTGGCCGGGTGCACAACAAAGTCGAAATAAAGGACTCCAAGGTACGGGACGCGAGTGGCACCCCCCACGCGCCGTAGAAACTCAACGGATCCGGCATCCGATTCGATCTCCCCGATGCACAACAAGAGAACAACCGTAGCGATGGTCGAACAGAGGTAGCCAACAGCGCCCCCGAAATAGCAAATAAGGCTCATGTCGTGTAGACCTTGCGCTACCTCTTGCAAGGTACTTTCGCTCAGCTGCTGCCCGATCCAACTCTCCTGAAAGGCAAAGCCGCTTCCAGCAAAGTCCTCCTGCAACCAATCGTCCACGTTCTCAAAGGCCATGGGTATCACAATTGTCCCCATTAGGGCACTGATTAGACCTCGGAATCTGAAACTGCAAAACCCCTAAGTTTTGGAAGCATGTTGCAGCTCATGCCCGATGCTCGAGTCTACACGTTCTTCACTCCGCCGTCTGCCTTTGCCAAGGGACCCATGTTGGTGCATTCATTGACCAAGTTGTCTCTGGCTGCGGTGGACACGCCCTTATCCTCGGTGACGATTTGATCGTTCAAGACCAGGAAGCGTCCACTCAGCATAGCCAGCCAGGAAGCGGCGATTCCTTGGCCCACTGCCAATCAGAGCTTCAGGTTTGAAATCACCCTAAAGCCTAAACCAAAAATCCAAAAAACCCTAAGATTGACAACCCGCTTTAGCCGAGCAAGGCTCCATCTGGAGCCTTCGGGTTCCCTGTCATCCCCACCTTTCGCTGGGGCAAGAAATCCGCAACCCGCTTTAAGTAGATGCCTTCCTGCTCGGACTTCTCAACAGGTGCCTTAGGCGCCAGCAAAATTTGACCCCTTGCTCCACCTTGCTCCCTTTGCCACGTAAAGGACCCTGTGGCTTGGACATGCTTGGACATGCCAACAACGGGTCAGAATGAAAGCAGCTGTCATCAACTCGAGCTAACTGCATACAACGACAGATGTGCAGTCCATATTCCAGAAATTCAATGCGACTTTTCATGCACATCATTCCGCCCCTGACCATCATTCACCACACTCTCCACGCCAACCAGCTAACTTGCAACCCCCTCTGAACCGTTCCCTAACCTTCTCTTCTCTACTACTCTTCTCTATTACTCTTCTCTACTACTCTTCTCTACTACTCTTCTCTACTCTGTAGAGACTCTATAGTCAGCGCTTCTGCTCTAATCGAAGCTTCTCACCCAAACTGCCTGCGACAAGAAGGTGCACGAAAGCACATACGCACATGGACACACACACACACACGCAAAGATACATACATACGCACATACATACATGCATGCATGCATGCATGCATACATACATATATGTAGAAATATATATACCTAGATCTATATCAAAATTTCTAAAAATCTTCATATCTATATATCTAAAAATCTAGCTATAAATCTATAGACCTATATATCTGTACCTTATATCTTACCTCTTATATCTTATATCTATATCTTATATCTTGTCATATATCTTATATCTTATACCATCTTATACCTTATATCTGTATCTATATCTATAATCTATAATCTATAGTCCAACATCTACTATCCAAACCTATATCTATATCTATATCTTTATCTATATATGCATATGTCCCAGTGTGTCTGCGTGTGTACAGACGTGTCTATCTAGAACAGCATCCGGAGGCATGGATTGCTCAGGCTCAACACCACATAACTCGTATGCTATGCTGCTACCTCCTCTTCACTGTAGGGATCGGGGCTTTCCCCTTTATGTTACAACTGGCGTTTACCACGATGGTTTTGATACTTTACGGTTCTGTGGGGCTTGAGTCTTCCAGGTCTGTTGACGGATGAATGCTTTGCAGCTTTAAGGCAGTATAGCACATGCCCACCCGCAGCTCCAGAAACGCAACAAATTCACACACACCATGTCGCCAAATCTCAGAAACTCACATCTCTGAAAATGAATCTCTTAATGTGAATACGGTGACCACCACGGTCCACATAACACTCTTGAATTGACGTCGAGAACTCCAGAGCCTTGCAAGTCAAAAGCAATTCTCTCTCTGGCCCGCTTCGGCATAGTCGAAAAAGAACCAGGGGGTCTTTGTATTGATAGTGCATGGATGAGCTTTGCCACATCTAAATCAAGTTTATGATAGACCTTGCGGATAGAGCTTCTACACAGAGCCTGTCGACAGAGCTCATAGATCGTATCTGCAGGGAGAGAGAGGGAGAAGGAGAGGTAGGGTATGCAAATGCATTCATAAATTCTATATAGAGTCTCTGCAGGAGTCTTGTGGATAGAGCTTGCAGGCAGATTTTAACAAAAAATCCGAAGGCTTTTTCAACTGCCGATGGCAACATAGAACAGGCATCTATCCTCAGAATTCTCCGCAAGTTGAAGTCCATAAATGTGCTCAAAAACATCATAAACCCTAAACCCCAAACCCACAGCATAATTATGTAAGCTCCAGGAGGCTGACGTGCTTTGGGCCCTTTAACTGGCTGCCGTCGGGCAGTGTCTCCAAAAACCGCCGTGTTTTAGGGTTTAGGGTTTAGGGGTACTCAAAAAACTCAATGGCTTAACTACACAGGGCACGGAGACAGCATAAACTCGAAAAGCTCAGAGTCTCAAAGTTTGGGCCATCCTGTGCTCGCTAATATTTCTCGGAGCATGCGAGGGCTTTTTGCACATGTCAATCCTGAATATCCTGAGAACCTGCAGAAACGCAGAGTCTTGACTTCGCATCAAGCATTGTCCACAACTGCTTGACTTCTTTGTCGTTTCTAAAGCTGTTCAACAAGTGCAGTTTCCTCGTTACTCCTGTATCAAGATTACTGAATAAATGTGGTCTCCTGCATGGCCTGCTCACAACAATCCGTGATGTAGACATGCTAAAGCGAAGAACGCACGAAATTTTCTGAGACCTGAGGACGACATGAATTGTTCGAGCATTGAAAGGTTTTGACCCATCTTCTACGTATGTATCGGCTTTTTATGTGTTCATCCAGTAAAACATTTCCCCAGGAGCGATCCGTTAAGCAGCTATGGAAAACGCTTTAAAAGACGGTGCGTGAAGCTTGTCCTGTTGGTGGGTGCTTCCAGGTATGCGTATACGTAAGCATGTACATATACATGTACATATTCAGTACATGTACATGTACAGATACATGTGCATAGACATGTCCATATACATGTGCATATACATGTACATATACGTGTACATATACACATACACATATGCATACACAAATACATATACGTATACATATACATATACATAGACATAGACATAGACATAGACATAGACATAGACACAGACATAGACATAGACATAGACAAAGACATAGACATAGATTCAGACATAGACATACACATAGACATAGACATAGACATGTGCATATGCATATGCATGTACATGTACATGTACATGTACATCATAAATCTCAAGTGGTGTACGTCTATCGTGAAGTGCTGCAAAACAGGTGCCCTGGATGACTGTCCAAGGCGCCGCCGCTTCCATCTCGGCGGCAGGTGACGGCATAATATGGAAAATAGCGATGAGCGCAAAACGCCTGCGTACATGCTTCACCAACTTGCAGAAGGAGCCACAATGAGACCTGACTCGAAAATTTATAGGGCCTTCAGGGTTTAGGGCATTGTGGGATTCAGGGTTAGGGGTCACTACCTGTGTGACTTCCACCTGCTTGTCTGCACAAGGCTCAAAGTCGTGGCGGGTGTGCTTTTGTGGAGCGGGCGAGCAATCTTGTGCTTGTTGAAAGGACATCACTTCAAGGCAAACTCTAGGATGTTTTACATGGCAACAGTTCCAGACGCCACAATTAAAACATGAAAAAAAAGATTTTGTTGTCTTCAGTGTTGAGTGTCCAACAAGTCATCACGCTTATGCATGGAACGTTCTACAGCGGCTGCAGGATAGCTGCACGTATGCATCGATTAGCCTTGGAAAATCTATAATTCCAACAGCTGTGTTCTGCATCAAGCGAGAAACAACCAGTCTTTGCTCGGTAAAGCTCGTAGACTTCTGCCAGCATTGAACCCACTGATGGTGGCTGTGATGATGTGAGCTCTGAATGCCACTTCCAAAGCCCTTTTCGTGAGAGCAAGGCTCCTTCAGAACTTTACAACAACGGAAGCTTTCTTTTTCTGCTGCGCACCGGACCCAGGTTGCATAAATGCTGAAACTGTACAATGCATCTCTGACCAGCGAACAGCTGGTGCTGTGGTAGCAGTGACATGCGCCGCCCCAATAAAATCAAAGCTGATGCTGTACAAACCTTCTTTGACCAGCGAGCAGCTGGTTCTTTGTGGTAGCTGGGATGATGATGTGGTGCTAGATGGTCTTTCAAGGCTAGGCGCTTCAGTGCTCGGGGCATTTCGGAACGTGGCTTGACCTAGCACGCTCAATGAGCACACCACACCCCGGCCGCCAGGACAAAAATCAGCATGATTCTAGCATAGTCAGCACCAGTAGAAGATTAGCTGGAGCTCCTTCTCGTTCGAATCCCCAATGACCATGGCTCGATTGCCAATTCGTCGGCGAGTGTGTTGCCTCCTCCGTCTGCGGCGGCGTCCACTGTACTCGATGGGCATGTGATCATAGCCAGATCTCGTGTATGATCGAAACACAGTTGGTCCATCCGACTTGCTGTAATAGTATACGTCACCTATGCCGAAGTAGTCACTGTTTGTTGAGGAACTCAGAGACTGGGACTCATCCATGGCTTTCCAGCCGCTGATTCTGCAAGATTGAGACCAGCACTCCTTTCGATCCTTGTACACCTCCCTACAGCCCTGAAGGAAGGATGACTGACCGGACAACTTTGCTGGATCCGCATCCCAAATGTTCTGCCTGCGCACGAAGGTGAGATCCACGTGGAACCGAGTCTTGAAAATCCAGAAGACTGACGCCGTAACTGTGGTAGATCCCTTCACCTCAATCTGGTCGTCCGCCCTGTCACCTGAGGACTCAAAATTGTGACTAAGCCACTGCTATGCACTCCATGCAATCCCCCACATGTCACCTTCAGACAAGGTTGGCCCAAGATTGTAGACACTGGCCGTGAGGCTGGCAGAGGTCGAGCCTGCCCGTGCTCAACAAATGTGATCAATCATGAGCATCTGTTTACTTGGGGTGTTTGGGCGGGAAAAACAGGTGTGCAACAGCATTGCAGCACTATCGTTGGGGAGAATGTCGTGAGGAGGCGATGTTGGCTCATGACGTTGCCGGCTTATCATCCGAAAAAAGATACCGCAACCACCTTTGGTATGATCCTCAACATCCTCGCACTCTGCTAAACCAGCTTCGGCCAGCATCAAGCTCCCGTCCCAAGAGCCTGAGAATAACCCGCCCAGGATGGTCAGGTCAATCGTGCCCCTGATGGTTCCTGGTGACTCGAGACGATGGTCTACAGTTTAGGGTTTAGGGTTTAGGGTTATGCTATGCATGCTAACATGGCACCCCAGAGACGTGTGTCTTGCTTGCAGAATCTTGCAGATTGGCATAAGTAAACCCATGTCACCTTTAACTGTACGAGTGGTTCTACTACCACCATTGCCACCAATTTTTTCGTTGCTGCTGCAGCTGCTGTTGCCTCTGCCCCTTTGCCCACAGCCCACTGGGCACCTTTTCGGGTTCTTTTTGGGTTTGTGGCAACCAGCGACCCGGCTTGTAACCACACACTCCATTCAGGGTCAGCAATTCCATTGTTTTGGGATTGCAATCACTTATGAAGGTCTAGCGTTTGCCGCCCGCGCTACTTTGTTCGGATTCGTTCGAGTCCTAGGAGTTTCAGAGCCAGTCTTGATGATTTGCAACCAGTCATCTTTCGGATCTCGGGGTTTTCTGCAACCACTTCCTTCTCTGGGTCTTTGCGAACCAGTCGCTCTCTGAGAGGGATTGGGCCAGCACTGAAAGACACGCCGAACATAAACGAACAAACGAGCAAAAAACAAGTCGGCATTCTGTGCCGCCTTCCGCGAAAAATAGGACTGCTTCTTGCGTCAATGGGATGCCACGCGGAAACAATACCCCCCAAGCCGTTGCGAGGGGTGACTTGAGCAAATGCGTCTTTCTCCCAGTGATCTCTTCCACCCACCCGAAATCCGGCCACGCAAGCATTCGTGTTGAGGAAGAGCCCATATGACGATTGGACCTACTACGTCGTAGCTGCCCCTTCTACCAAGCAAGCTTGCAAAACCTGAATCTCACTGTGATCCTGTCAGGTCGACGGCAGGTTGGTTCCTCGCGGACCATGACTTGCCAAACGCCAGCTCTCCTCTGGGGCAGCAGCTGATGGGAGCGTTCGGAAAAGCCATGGTTGGGGTCCTCACTCTGCCTATTGTCACGACGACCTTATGGGCGAGTTCTTGCTTCGGGACGCCTGAGCATGCCCAAGACCGGCGCCATTTTCTGTTGGTTTGAGAATGGTATCATTCTGAAGACCGGGGCCCGTCATGTGTTCTCATCGTGTTTATGGACAACTACACCGAAGCAGGCTCCCGCCTGCAATGGTCACGCGTGCTGAACCGACGATTACGAACACGGAACCACTCAAGGATAAGGTGAGCTTGCCGCTGTAAGACGATTGGGATTGCATCAATGGACTCCAGCTTTGCAACCGCCAGCCACTGGCTTCACCACCGCACTTTAAAGTAACTGTCGCCGTCACCCCGGCCACAGATGCTGCTGCGCTGAAGCTGCCACGGCCAGAAGACGAAAAACTCACAAATACCCCAAGTGGGACCTCTGACAGATAGACATTTCCTGCTTCAAAGTCGTAGCTGAAACCAGTGCTGCCGATTCCAAAGTCTCTCTGAATGGACTTTGCGGTCACATACTTGAGTGTGTTCAGCCTGCGCTGACTGGAGTTGTCAGTATTCAGCGGCACGGCAAGGTCCGCTTCCGACAGATTGAATTCGGCTGTGTCGTTGAAGAGAGATTCCTCTTGCCAGGTGCTATTCTCCTCCTGCCTCTCCAAGTCTGGAGTTTCAAGAACGAGATCCCAGTAGCTTTCACTTCCTGCGGGGAAGTTGAGAGTGCAGCTTTCGGCCGTGCAGGCATGGTTCAGGGAGCGGTAGAACTCCAGGGTTGTAATGTTCTCGGTTGCTGGAGCATGATCATCATCGTCCATCCTCGGGTATGTACAGTCTTGATGTATCGGTGTATTTGTGGACTTGAAGTGGATGAAAACGTGACCATCAATCCACTCCAGCACTTATTGTGCACTTCGTTCCCCTTTACTCTAAAGCGGGTTGAATACTCGAAGACTCAAGTCGCAAGGTTGAAACATTACGGACATCTCCTGCATGTACACATGTACAAGAATGCAAGGAAACAACGTCCTCGGAGAACAAAAAACCCTAAACCCCAAACCCTTACAAAAACCCTAAACACCGAAGGAGAAGACCGAGGACTGAAACACCGGACGACGGGACAAGGAACCCAAAAAAGCCAAGATCCAAACCAGAGAAAGGGACTTTGGGGCCGGGTGGGTGAAGCCAAAACCCTAAACCCTAATCTTCTAATCCCTAAATCCTATAACCCCTAATCCCTAAAGCCTAAACCCTGAACCGCAAGTCAGGAAACCCGTGCCCTCGAAAGCCAAGCGTCATCGGCACACTAAGTCCAAAGACTTGGGGACCATGGCAGTCCAGCATGTTCAGACCTGTTTAGGGTTTAGGGTTTAGGGCAGAAGGATTCTTGATCTCAGGGCTTGGAGCTTAGGAATCCGGACCCTGAAGCAAAAAGAACCAAGCATGGATATCCTGGGGCTTCGGGTTGAGACACTGAAGGGTCAATCTGCCTCGTTCCATCTCATCAAACTCTTCTTGACTGAAGTTGCTCCGGAAGCTTGTGAAGTATGCCCGAGGGCTGTCTTCAACATTCGGCAGGAAGTACTTATGTGGCACACCAGTGGCGCGGTCCTCCCAGAACTCCACATGGGCCTCCGTGTTCTCGGGGTAGTCTTTGTGGTAGAGGATGTACCGGTTGAATATGCGATCCGGTTCGCTGGCGTACGAGGTTGTTCCTACCGCGGAGATGATGAAGTCTGCAAAGTTGCCCATGACGGTCTCGTCTTCGTTCAGCTCGCGCTGGCCACAGGAAGTGGCATGGGTGCTGTTGAACACCTGCTTCTGCATAAACATGCCCGTCGTGAAGTCTCGTTGTGTATGGAGAGCCATCATGGGGTAATTCGGCCACTCTTGAACTGATATTACTTTCTCACGTGCCATCGAGTAAAGCTTCTCAGTGGCCTTGATGTATTTTCCGGTGACACCGGTGTCGTGGTAGTAGGGGTCGAGCGTGAGCCCTGGAAGATTCACCCGCTGACCTGTGGCATTCAACCTTTCGAAGACTTGCGAATAGCAGGCAGATTGGTAGCACCGCTGATAGGTGTCAAGGGTGAAAGCGAAGGGAGGCTCAAGGGCCTGCAACGGCTTTCTCTGGCTCTCACATGTATAGTTGTACTCCTCAATGAAGTTGAACATGCCGGCGATGTCCATGCCCACACTCAACCTTCTGGCGCCGTCCAATGACACCTCGCCGTTCTGATACGGAGCAGAGAAGCCAAGCACAAAAAAAAAAAACGAAAAAACAAAGAGAGAGAAACAGAACTTCCCCTGCCGACCGGCAGCTCCCAGGCCCGTGCCCATCTGAAGCCTGGCTGCAAGGCAGAGATGACAGTGACGACTAGAATGACTAGAACACTAGCCAAATGCAGAGCGTCGAGTAGCTTAAATCCTCTGGCGTTCATCTTCTGCACGAACTCGCTTGTGACGGAGACCTCCGCATCGTCCACCGTCAGATCGCCATGAACAGTCTCCAGATCAACCACACTTCCGCATCCTTGGATACACAGGCAGCTGAGGGTCGAAAACCTCCAACCCACCCGAAACCCCTAAACCCTAAACCCTAAACCCTAAACCCTAAACCCCTAAACCCTAAACCCCTACATCCTAAACCCTAAACCCTAAACCCCTAAACCCTAAACCCCCAGGTTGCACCACTGCATCGTTATAGCTTCTCAAGATAAGAAAACCTCGGAACTTCACTGGGTCCCAGGGACTGCTTGTCGTCACAAAGCGGCGCTGGAAGCCCAGCACATCCAGAATCACCTGATACACCAGACAGCAAAGGATAAAAGTTCATTATTCGCCTGACTTCCATGATTTTGCTCTTGCATGCCCACCTGTGCCTGAACTTAAAGTAAGCACTTGATCTGGATGCTGAATTGGGCACAAACCACGCTGGTGTGTCGGGAAAAAGGGCTGGATTATGTGTGGTGACATGTGCAGAACCCCTGGTCCACAAACAGACGAGCCTTGACGGTGTCACCGTTCTGGTGCGGAAGGTTGAGCGTCACAGATTTCAACTCCTTTGGAATGGGCATTCAGTCTTCCGGTTGAGAATTTGGAGCAACTCGACTGACAGCAACGTCATGCATGCGAAGTCCTCATAGGCAACTTCTGGCAACGTCGAGGTGAGATTGCGAGATTGGCGTTTTGTGGGGCTCGTAGCTAACGGTTTGCCACAGTACTCCCCATCAAGACCACCGGTGCACTGAGTGGATACCAGACCTCCACCAGAGATGGTAATCTCTCTGGTGAGTTGGATGCCAAGCACGGTTGCACCGAGACAGGTCAGAAGAAAAAGAACAAAAGCGATCAGCGTCAGGACAAGGCTGATCCTCACATACGAGTAGTTCGTCTGCAAACGCTTCGTCCTGTTCACATAGGCAACAATCTCGGAAACATGCACCTGCCCGTCGTGATCGATGTCAAGCTCGCGGAGGACATCTTCGGGCAGTTTTAGCTGCGAGACAGGAACCTTGCCCGGAGTTTCTGTCAGTTTGACCTCCCCAGCAGCCCCATCCTGCTTCCCCACCGCTCCGTTTGACATGCCAGACACGAATGACGGGTGCTAACCACAGATGCGGTCGCAGCAAAAATGGCTTCGTCAGTTACACTCGACACATAATCCGACACAGGCGTCAAGGATTCACTCGACCCAGACGACAAGCCGCAGCTTCTCGGAAGTGACCATGTTGGCGCGTCGTTTTTCAACTTGCTTACTGACCGGACACCTGAAGAAAACGCTTGACAACAAACCCCTAAGTTCTCTAGGTTGGTACGAAATGGCTAACGCACCGAAAGACAGACTGAGCGAGCTCTCTCTTTTTCCGCTGAGGTTGCTGCGTCAGTGCGGAGCGGAGCGCGCTCGGAAGGAGTCCGATGCAGAGCAGAGCGTGCTCCGCCAGATTTCCCCACTTTAGCGGACACGGCAACCTCTCAGAGCCAGAC